AGTTGGAAGATGTGGGAGGGTGGAAGGCTGGCAGCGCTCTGTTTGGAGAGAGGGGCAGGTGGTACAGAGCCACAGTCGACAACTCCATGGTCCTGCTGCTGCCTCTGGCATCAAGGATCAGCTGCAGCTGTACAGGAGCAATTCCCCCTGGAAAGCTGCACAGGGAGCTCAGAGGAATAAAAAGGAAATCCAGAGACACTAAGGAATACAAAAGAAAAAGTTACAAAGGGCCAAAGAGGGTGAGGGAGGGAAACAACACTGAAAGGAGCTGAGAACAGAGGAAAAAATGCCTGTGGTTTGCTCCTTTTGGGTGATTCTGGAACATTTCCTTTCCATGCTGTTCTACAGCCTAAAATTGCTTTTGTTAGCTTACAAAAAAACAGCTGGGAAGAATTTGGAGTGTGGAAGCAGAAACTGAAAGAGATTTCCTACTTCTGAGCTGCAGAAGCAGAGATGGAAATTCCTGCAGGGAGGAATGAAAAACTGAGGATGAAATGTGGCTCCCAACACAGGGAGTAGAGTACTGAGCCCACAGAAGCCTCTGGAAATGGTCCCTGGAGTCACCCTAGCACAAGGGATAGCAAACAAAGTGTCCAAACAGTTTATTCTTCACACATTACATGAACCACAAATTACTTCATGGAGCATTTACAAGTCAGTTTTGCCATGATGTTCATCTGCCAAGGGACCTGCTCACCCAACCAGGTCTCCTGAGGGCCTTGTCCCCCTCCCACATCCCCAACACTGCCCCAGTGCTCAGGCCAGGCCTGAGCACCACAACACCACAAAAAATCTACTTCAAACCCAGTTCTGAGTTGATAGAAAACTCTCTGCCCTCAGCAGTGGCTCATGGGGAGCTGAGCAGAGCTCTGTGCCCAGCCAAGGGCTCACACAGGGACCTAGTAAGGTTTGAGGTGGCTCCAGGAGCTTCTCCCTCACAGCAGCCACTAGATTTCTTGATGCAAACAGCATTTTTAACCCTTCTGCTCCACCCTGGCCCCCTCTAGCCCTGCTCTCAGCACACTCAGCCAGGCTGGGGACTTACATGCATAAAAGATCCAAAAGAAAGTAAGGAAAAAACTCCTTTTCAACACTCAAAACAACTTAATCTCTCTCACTGTCCACCTGACTAGTTCACAGATTGGATCACTCCAACAAAGCCATAATGACTAAACACTAGACAAATTCTGTCAGGACTTCTCTGGGGAGCAAGAAGCCCCAAAAGTGCCTGAGGAACATGTGGGGATGCCCCAGCTGGGCAGTCCCAGCCCTGCCCCCACTGCCACTGACGTTGGAGAGCAAAGCACCAAACTCCAGGATGAACAGAGCTGAATGGGGAATTCAGTCCATGTCATTGATCAAATCCCTGTTCCTGGAGGCCAGAAGATTCGGGGAGCTCCACAGAAGTCAAATATCACTGTGGTGACTGGCAGGAAGGTTCCTCGAGGCAGGTGGTGGTGAGGAGTGACTTGGACACTTCTCTGAAGTGGCCCAGGGCAGGGCGAGGCAGAAGTCCTGTGGTGTTGAGTGCTTTGATCCTCCAAAACAGGTTAAAAAATCCCCAAGGAGCAAAGCCCAGAGAAAGGGAGCAGTGAAGTTCCCTCAGTCAGTGGAAGCCTCAGCGCTGGTCTGTGCGGAGCTCTCTGGGTCTTCCAGGGGGGAAAAGCATTACTGGGAAGACTGAGGGAGAGGAGCAGGGCCGAGGATTACGGGCAGAGAGTGTGAGTCTGTCTTTATCATGCAGGGCAGAGAAGGGATTTGGGTGTTTTCCTTTATTTTTCCCCCTCTTGGACACTTCCAACTCAAGAAATGGCAACACGCACATGGCTTCCAGTCTGTAAAGCAAAGCACAGAGCTCCCCGGGCTGTGCTGCAGAGACAGGAGACAAGACAGTGGCAAACTCAATCTTTAGGAAGAAAAAGAGGCACCTGAGAACTCTGTGTGTTGAGTCCCACAGTGTGGGAGAGAAGACGCTGTGCATTCCTGGGGCCTCAGCCCTGCACCTGAGCACAGCAGAGAGCCCAGGCTGCAGGCAGAGGAGAGGCACCAAGTGGCTAAATTAAGGCAGAAGACATATGAATAAAAGGAATTAAACTCGCTCTCAGTTGTCCACAGCTCACCTGGAGTGCTCATCCTCGTTACTGGCACTTGGAGTTCGACTCCTGATCTGACTCCGGAGCTGCTCTATTAGTTCAGGGTTCTGCTGCTGCATTTGCTGGGCAAACTGCTGACCCCTGAGGGACACAGGAGACAGGTGACAGGTGGCACAGGCAGGGGCTAGAGCTCCCACTCCCCCAGCACGAGCTAGAAATGCTTCACAGCTCATTGTCACAACTCAGTCGCTAAAAGAGCCACAACTTCCCTCAACATTTAAACCTTCCCCAAGCATCCAGGGAAGGTTCTGAGGCTCAGAACCCCCAAATCCCTGGGATCTCCCCAGATCCCTGTCCCCAGGGCCCTGAGCCCCCCCAGCTCTGCACTCACGCCTGGATGAGACTGGCAAGGTCGTTGGTGGAGGGGCTGGTGCCAGTGGCTCCCATGGTGTTGTGGCCTCCTGAAATCATCCCAGACATGCTGTGGGGACAAGAGTTAACACTCAGAGCAGGGAAACACCCCAAATTGTGTGTGTTACACTGGGACAGTGTAACACATTCCCATTCCCTGATTATCATGGATTAAGAAGTTATGTGGGAGGGAATCTCCTGCTACAACTTTTAACTCATCAACTGCAGGAGATTAATGACAATTAAGATGCACAGTAAGTAAAACTACTTCAAACAGTGTCAGTTTCCTCATTCCCAGATTTCTTCCCTGTGCAACCCCTGGATTGTGTTTATTGAGTGAAAACACTGCCCTTCCTCACACAAGCTCTTCTCTTGCTCTGCATCAAGGATGTGCTGCCAGGACAGCTTGGACACCAACTCCCTTATGGGGAACACACAGTCCTTCCCCCTGGAGTCTCAGGCTGCATCCAGGGGGGAATTTCAGGTGCAGCAGCAGTGGAAGGAGCAGGGAGAAGCAAGGGGAAGTGGTGGCTGACACTCAGCCCTGCAGCCAAGCTGCCCCACACAACAAAGGATGAGTTCCAGAGGGTCTCTCCCTCCCTCCTGTGCTCCCAAGGGCTGCTCAGGAATGGTCTGCACCTCATTAATTTTATGACTTTATCCATTACTTAAGCACCTCACAAATATTTTAAGCTCATAACCCTGGAGCACAGGGAATGGGAATATCCTCACCCTAATCCGATGGAGCTGTGGGATTCCTGTCTCCAGGTCACATAAACCTGCACTGCAGAGCCAAGTTGATCCCCAAACCCAATTCCAGGGAGGGCCAGGATCAATCCTGCCTCCCCTCTGCTAAACTCCCTCCTCAGCACAGCCCAGAGCACCCAAAACAACATTAGCTCAGGTAACTGGGCTGCTCTGAAGGCTCCCTCCATGCTTCTGGCCCAAGCCCCATCCTCCTCCCACCAGATCTGACCTGCAACCAATGCCAAACACACACTGGGTCTCAAACCAGCAATTCCTAGGGAAACACAAGCAGGATCCAACTTACAGCTGTTGTACTTGGGGGTTGTTCATTAGGTTTGATGCCTGTTTAAAGAGGAGAGAAAACAACACCCGATTTAGGCAGCAGTAGATGTGCACATGTGGTGCCTTTCAGCCAAAGTGAAGGCACAAAGGCTCTGAGACAGAGCAAAGGGACAAAAATAGCAGCAGGAGAAGCAGAGCACAACACCAGAGCAGCATCTGACACACCACAGGCTCCTTCCACAGCCAGGGAGTAATTCACTGGCTTTGCATTGGAGCTAAATGAAACAGCAGCAGCTTCCAGACAGCCACAGAGATCAAGGACTGGAAACACATCTGGAGAGATACCAGAGCCACGTCCTGAGGGTCTCACCCTTCCCAGCCCAACCCCAGCTGGGCCCTATGTCCACACTCACCATGCTCATGAATCCAGGGTTGTTGAGCAAACCAGCCAGGTCAAATCCCCCTGGGCCTCCCGTCTGGAACAGAGAACCACAGGTCACATCTCCCACTTTGATACTTAACTCCCAGAGTCAGCATAATCCCAGGATGGCTTGTTGGAAGGATCTGAAAGATCATCCAGTCCCACCCTCTGCCATGGGTAGGGATGCCTTCCACTGGACCAGGATGCTCCAAGCCTCATCCAGCCTTCCAGGGTTGGGGCAGCCATAGCGTCTATGGACAACCTGCGCTAATGCCTCACCACCCTCACAGTGAGGGAGGGATTCCTTCTCAATATCCCATCTAGCCCTGCCCTCTGGCAGTGGGAACCCATTCCCCCTTGTCCTGGACATTTGTCTGAAGTACCTCTCTATCTTTCTTGTAGCTCATTCAGGTACTGAAAGGATCCAGAACCTGCCCCTAAACCCTGACAAAGGGAAGAGACCCTGTCCAAACCCTTCTGGAAAGCTCCAGGTCACATCCAGCCTCAGGGGATTGAGCTCACAAGAGTCTTACCTGACTCACTGCTCAGCTCTCAGCTGTGACTCAACTGCCAAATCAAATACCTTCACACCCTCACCTGTGCACTGGAAGTCTTTGGAAAAAATTAAACTCCCCTTCAAAATGACCAACACACACATTCCTGCCTGGAGCAGGTCAGCAGTGCAGCCAGCAGCTCCCTGCCTGGGGAACCTCCAGGTTTCTCCTCATGAAAACAACCTTTGTAAGCAAGAAGTCACCAAAAATCACTTTTGGTATTGGTACAAGTCACTAGGCAAATAAAGAGGTGGATTAAGGAGTGGTTTTAATTAAGGGGCTTAAGACAAAACTGCTGGTTCAAAACACTCATCAGTCACTTTTCAGCTGTTCCAACCAAGCCCAAGGTGACTGTGAGGAGAAGTTTCCCTCTCTGGCTCCAGTGGGGATGTTCCCAGCAGGATCATTAACAATTTCCCCTCTGTCTGCATCCAAAATGTGCATTTTAACCTCCCCCAGGCCACCAGGGTCCTGCAGGCAGCACCTGTAGCTCTCCCAGTGAAGAAACCTCCTTGAAGCCTTGCTTAAGTCATTAATTTCAACACTTACTGGACTGGGAGTCTCTTTCATCTTCTGTTCAGCTATTTTGAGGTTGGATTTGTAGGTATCATTGTCTGGATCCAACTCCAGAGCTTTTTTGTAGTACACAACAGCCTCAGTGTGTTTGTTTAAGCTGGAGAGAGCCAAGCTGGGAGAAGGAAATCAAAGTCACAGTTAGACAAGCATTTTCAGCCTCCCTCCACCCTCAAAGGTGGAACACCAGCAATTCCTTCACGGCATTGCAGGGCAGGACACACTGACAGGGATTGGAACTGCAGCACAGAAGCTGCTGTTGCTCACCCCATCCTGCCATAGGCTTTGCTGTAGTTGGGGTCGATGCCTATGGCTCGTTCACAGTCTCTCACTGCACCAGCGTAATTCCCAAGTTTACTGTAGGCAGCAGCTCTGGAGGGAAAGGAGAGAGAGGGGGAGGAGACACTGAGCAGCTGGAATACACTGGGGGAAGTTCTGCTCTTTCTCTGCTGTGCAAGAGACCCAACACAAGTCCAGGGCAGAAGTGAGCAGGCTCCTATCCCAACCTCCAGTTCCACACTCTGCCCTGGAATCTCTTTATGCAGATAAATCCAGGATCTTATTTCTCCTGATGCCACCCCAGGAGGAGCCTGAGCTCCAGGGATGCACACAAGTACTTCTCAGAAAATCTCTGATCAGTACAGCTCAGAACATCTGTTTCCCTCATCCCTTAGTTTCTCAGGCACAACTGTTCCGTTCATTTGCCCACATTCCTCACAGAGGGAAAACTGGTTTGGAAGCTCAATCAAGCCTCAACCTCACAACTCTTGGCCCAAAACCTTGTGGCACTGACCCTCACACAGCTAACACAGAGCTGTGCTAACAGCCCCAAACCACCTCCCCATGTCACTAGTGTGTCCAGGTGTGTTTCCCTGAAATTTGCAGCACCCAGGTACCCACAGTGAGCAGGAAATCAAACCAAATCCTGATTCATAGTCTCTTTTATCCAATAATTTTCTTCCCACCAACTTCCAAACACTTTTGCTCAGAACTGAAGTACAGGAAACGCTTCCACTCCCAACTCTGCACACACCAACTTCCATAACTCTCAGTAACTTGTGTCCTTTCACCCCAGTATTCCCCATGCAGCCTCTCCATCCCCTCACAGCTAACTGCATGGCAGCAGACAGGATTTCTTGGCATCCCTTCTCGCCCCAAAGGCCTAATAAGGTTCCTCTGAACACACCCATCCCCTGAAGAGGCAGCAGGAGGCACAGGGAGTGTGGCAGCAGGAGCTGACAGCACACCCCAATCAGGGACAGCCACAGAGGGGCTGGAGAAGGGATTTGGGGCACTGAGCAGAGCTGGATGTGAGGAGTGAGGGAACAGCTGAGCACCTGTTGCAGAAGTAGACGGCATTGGCAGGGTTGAGCTCTATGGCTTTGCCGTAGAAGCTCACAGCAGCCTCGAAGTTCTCTGCCTTCATCTGCTCATTCCCTGAGGGATGGAGGGAAGGCTCGTTAGCCAGGAGAAACAGGGACAGGCCAGGCAGCAGGCCTGGAGCCATGGCCTGCTCCAAGGAGAGGGCAAAGGAGAGGGAATAGAAATACTAAAGGAAATACTAAAGGAAATAGGACTGAGGGAATCAAGTTTCCCTCCCAGTTAGCCCCAAACCCTCACAATCCCCCAGCCCCAGGGGAGGTTACCTTCAGTCTTGAGCCTCTCAGCCTCAACTATGTCATCCTCAGAGGGGGTGATGGGCTCCGAGTTCATCCTGCTGTGCTCCAGCTCCTGCAGGGGAAGGGAGAGGCTGAGATAAGGATTCCCAGGGAGATGTCGCACACCCTTCCCCTTCCCCACCACATCCAGCCAAAAGCATTCCCTCCCACACAGTTCTGGGGGAGCAGCAGCCGCCTGGAATCCACAGAGCTCAGAGCTTGGGCTCCTGGAAAGGACACTCAGCACATTTCAGGGCTCTCACTCACCTTCCCTGCCACAGCTTCGAATATCTCGGGGAGAGTCTGGGACACAGCCAGGCCTTGGTCCTCCATGGACACCCCAAAGGCAGTCTCCAGGCACTGGATGGCCACTGAACAAGGAGAATCAGGACATTAGCCTTCCCCACCCTGCCTGAGCACTCATCCCTCTCCCTCAGCACTGGGATTGCTCAAAGACAACAGGAATGAACTGCAAACTAACACTTCCCACAGCATGTTTGGTATTTGGGCAATATCCTTACACTCTGCCCAAACCTCAGAGCTGTGAAAACCTCAGCTCGGGATATGAGGCTCTGGATTGAGTCAGGTCCAACTCCAACGTCATCAGGGACTCCTGGGGCTGCAGCAGCATTCCCAGAGCTGGGAATGTGGGAATGCACCAGCATACCCTCAGCTGGGGGAGGCCAAGGAGAGATCCACGTATTTCCCTTGCCCTGGAAAGTGCTGTGGTCACACAGAGGCTCAGTGACACCAAAACATCTCCTCCCACAGCAGGCACCTGGTTGGGAAGCTGTACCCAGGTACCACAGAGTTCGGCTTCCCAAAGCTCAGCTTCCCAAAGTTCTTGTACTGTGTTTTACAGCCC